ATCGACCGACCGCGGCCGAAGTGCAGCGAAGAAGGTTGACGACGACGGGCTTGGTACGCACCGACACTACTGACTCGCGTCGCGCCTGGCAGCCGACTGACTCCGGCGAGAGAGGATGAAACCGGGCGACGCCGCCGCCGCCGCCGCCGCCGCCGCCGCCGCCGCCGCCGCCACGGGCTCCGCCACCTCCACCGCCACCCGCCACTTCCATCGCCATCTCCGCGCCACCCCCCGGCGCAGCAACGCTGTGTCGCAGTGCCGCGAACCGTGTCGGTTGGTACCTTCAACCCTCGCCGTTCAACCCCCCAAACGCTGAGGAACACGTGTCGGCCGAACGGATGCGCGAACGAACGGGGATACGTCACGCGTCCCCGGTATTTCGAGATTGTCGATTTTAACGCGGTTTGCTCGAAAATAATCCTTGAATATCGACGTGTGCACAGCGTCCTATTACGCGATGTTGTTTTACCGAGAATCTGCTATAGTTGCGTATTTTGAGCGGAGCGCCGTATTTTGGAATATACAGTTTCTGACGGTGGCGCGTCGCGGCTTAATTACGCAATTTTACGTAAACAAATCCATTTGTATTATCGGGACACTCTCGAGTATTCATAAAGCGTGCACGGACATTAGTACGCGATCAAACCATTCGCGTCCGTTCGGACATTAATTGTGCGAGCATGTGGAGTTTACGGATGCGACAACGACGTCACCGGAATAAGCGAACACCTGTTTGCTCGTATAATAGCGACACTGCTGGCTGCAAGCTTTCATACATGCATAGAGACGCTGATATACCGCGTCCGCGACGTTTGAATGAAAATAAGTTACACCCGTGGGACGAAAGTTATATAAAATATGACACCCGCGGCAACTTCGTTCGTGTCGACGCCATTTCACGATATTTATTATTTCATCCAAGCTGGACGCAACTCGCTTCGGGTCCGAACTCATTGATTAACGATGAATGAACATCGGCACAATGTACAAAGAATCAACGCCTGAAACGTTCCGACGATGCTTGCCGACGTCATTAGTTTTTCACTTGCAAATCTCTTCGTGAATTAAAAGAATCTACACGAAACATTTTTCAATTCGCGAACATAAATTCGAACATAAATTCCAATTTTCGCTATTCTTCTTAGAGATTATTATAAATTATCAAAGCTATCGGAAAAAAAGAAATCAAAGTGAATAAATAAAATGAACAGATAAAACGAGATCAAAACATCATATATGAATGTCCGGAAGATAAATACTCTCGCATCAACACGGGAGATTTGACTTCACTCAGAATTTATTTTCGTATACGCGAATTGTTTAGATTTTCGCACGAAGATTTTCAATTTTCCAGCAACTTCAATTATAAAACGATGCAGCGAAAAAAAAAACAGAGATGTATACAAGCTTTCGCAAGTTTATTTATATTTTCCGACACTAAAAGAATGACTAATTTTCCGCGAAGCTCGCTGGTCTTTCAATTTCACCACCAACATCTCTAAATTCCATAAAAGACAAGTACGTGCACTGCCGGACATGTGTTTGAAAGCTTTTAAAAGCGTCGCAAAGATCCAGTTAATATTTGAGAAGCATGTCTCACGTTTCTGCGCTTCAAAGTTAATTACTTCAGTCGAGATCGATCGATTGCGCGCCACTCTCGTTATCGCTGATGGAAGTCGGGCGAAATTTTCGGCGGGCGATAGATAGCGCGGCCGCGCAAGATCGCAGCCGGCCGAGATAAATCAAAAGCGGACGTAGATCCGTGACGCAACGCTGCAGAATCCGTCGGGTGTCCGACGTCACGCTGTATTATTTTCAACCCCTCTCGGCGCAGCTACCTGGCCGAAGCGCGCGCCTGACCTATTCCCCGAGATATTTCCAAACGGATGGATTACGGGATCGATAAGAGGCTCTGCGAAGGATTAAAAGAGGCTGCGAGAGGCGGCGGAGCTAAAAAAAGGAAGCGGCGAAAAAAATCACGGGTAAATTGAGATAAAGGGTAATCGACTTAGCTTTGCTACGTACACGCAGGTGCATGAACTGTTATGCACATCCCGGCTGCTCGGCATCGCAATTAAAACATTTCGATCAATTGCGCCGGTAACGGATCAATTAGGACGGTCTATTAATCCGGCCGCGGGACGAATCATTAAGCTCGACGCGGCGAAATGCCGGCGCGCGAAGGAGTCGCTTAACGCTTTAAATGTACGGACGATAAACGGAGCGTGACTGTGTGAGATTTGTTACGGCGAAGTTAGTTCTAGATTCTTCCGAAGACCTGGAATTCGCTGAAAAATCCTGCTCCGCGGACTGCTTAATAATTTCTATATATAAAATGCGTTCGACACGTTGAACTACATTTTTCTCGAGCGTTCCAATTTTATTTTATTTTACTCGCTCGTCCGAGAATCCGTTGTGCTTAATTTCGCACGCTCTTATAAGAATAGAAGGTTATCTTCCTTGTATCGGTAACACAAGTGCGCTAATGACTGGTGGTTAGCAATTTATTGGATATGCATATGTATATTTCTCATGTATCCAAAGTTCCAGATCTGCGATAACAAGTACTGAGTTTCGCGTTCGCCACTGCTCACAGCACTACTATTCCCTTCGCCTTAATGTGCCTTCGCTAACTTGCACGGCAGGATGAAGCCATTAATTACACCAGAACGAGCTTGAGGTTGATGATACAAGCTCTCAAGGGAGCTTACAGCGCAATATATTTATTTTATGTTATTCGCGTAACAAACGCGTGTATTTAAGCGATTATCGCTAAGCAATTTAGTAAATTAAAAAAATCCCCAAGTCAGCCGTAAATGTAAGTAATGCTAATAAACTGTAATGTAATCTAAATGTAAATGTAAGTGAAAAGCATTACGATAAATTCCGATCTTTATTCGCTGATAAATAACGCAATATTAAAAGGCTCAAGGAGAAATTGTTTGAGAAGTAAACATAAACCGTCGTGTTTCATCAAGCAACCTCTTTATATTAATTGTGTAGGAACTCTCTGAGTCAAGCTAGCTTTATAGATCGTGGCTGATGACACTTTTCTTCGCTGTCGGAAGGAAATACATCGGACAAAGACGCAACAGAGTGCGCGATAGGGTTACAAAGAACTCTACGCGTGGCTCGACTCAAAATAAATTCTACACTCATCGTTCTAGCAACATCTATTCGGAGCGTGTAGACTCGTAGGCCACTTCTTCGTAAGAAGTATGTCTTCTTAGTATATGAATCGCCAAAAAAATCCACGAATCTATCGAACGGTTTATAAATTTTCAATATAAAAATCGGAGAATTTAAATTTAAAAAATGTGTGATTTAACAATATTGCACGATGAATGTGCCGTGCTATTTATAGAGAAGCGGAGAAATTATAAATTTCCAGCCGCTTAATATAGCGAATAAATCAACGCTTCACATTTACGTTATAAAAAAATCTATCGCAAATTGAAAGAATCCATAGAATCTGGGACACGCAATGGATAAAGGAATGCGCAAAAATTCCCGAATAAACGATGGACGAAAAGTTTTCTCGCTCGGTCGTGGGTGTTCGGACGTTCGATCGAGCTTCGTACGCCACGTCATGACCGAGATGCACAAGGACGAGACTGCAGTTGCAGGCTGCGCGTTCGTGTATCGCTGGGCGAGCACCGACAGGAAGTAGTGCGAGCGCATTATGATAATTATCATCCGCTCGTTGGAACAGAAGAGTGAGGCATCCGATGTCCTACTTGCGCAAGTCAAGTTTGTCGAAAAGTATCTTTACTTTATTAGATTCTCTTTTAAAAAGAATATGACATTTTCGTATTTTCGTTTTTTTTTTTGAAGAAATGTAAATTAGCAATCTTTGTAAAAACAGTTAAAGTCAAATTTTTCTTTTGAAAAGTTTCAAACAAGACAGACGGTTTCTTTGGTAAAACCCTTTTAAAGATTTAATATTCCATAAATATGCAAGAGAAATTAAAAATCCGGGATCTTAAGAAATTAAGAGAAATTAAAGAAATATAATGTTTAATCTCGTATTTTCTGAAGAAATATAAATTAACATTCTTTTTAAAAAATAAAAGTCAATTATTTCTTTCAAGAAATGTGAAATAAAACAGACCATCTGTTTAATATAATTTTTCTAAAGATTGAAAGACCTGAATATTCGAAAATAGTTATGCGAGAGAAATCACAAGCCAAAAATTATAAAGGAATTGAAGATTAATTTGAAATTAATGCCAAACGATTATGCCAATAAATACTAATAATAAATAAGGTTCGAAAATGTAAGAATTCCGGAATTAAAATTATATTTATATAATCACATCTTTGACAAGTTCAAAATTGTATTTCAAAATTAATGGCAATCAGTCGCGAAATATGCGTGTCAATCAATATACACAATTAAAATGAAATATTTCGAGATTGTGCTTTCAAGCGAATTTCCGAATCAAACAACTACTCTTTTCCATATATATTACGAGCCAACAAACGTACATCTGCGGATTTAATCTGGTCTATCGAAATCTGGCTCGTAGCCGAAGCCACGAAACGACACGAAGTGCGACCGCGCCGAGTGGTTTTCAAGAGTAAAGTGCACCGATGCAGTGCGCGGCTTACGTGCTACTCAAATAGAGAGCTGATGGCTGATAGATGGCTAAGGTTAACGCGAGCTAAAATGGTTGAATTAAATGAAAGATATCTTCATTTTTAATCCTTTAAAAATTTTCTCAATTTCAATTTCCATAATTATTAACGCTCTGCAAAACTTCGAGATATTTAACCCAATATATAGATGTAAATGTAGTCTTCGGTATGTTATATCATTTAGTAAACAACGTGAATATTCTGCGTGAAATTCGATCTCAAACTTTGATAAGCTATGTGACTTCCACGCCAACAG